GCTACTCCCGAGACCCCCCAGTACTAGACCCCGGCTAAGCTGTGCCACCAAGCTACTCCCGAGACCCCCAGTACTAGACCCCGGCTAAGCTGGGCCACCAAGCTACTCCTGAGACCCCCCAGTACTAGACCCCAGTGGCTTATTCTTGGAGTCAGGAGGAGCTGGGAGCCATCTGAAGACCTGTCAGCCCCTAGTGTGATTACCCACTGACACCTTACATGCTCCACGCTGGGTGGCAGAGTGGGCATGCTGGTGAGTTCCCTTCCCACCTCGGGCTGGATGGCCCCAACAATGTCCTTAAGGGAGGCCTGCTATAGTTTGGTAAGCCCTCGCCCTCAAGCCGAGCCCAAGGAGAGGTTCTCCAGTGCACAGAGGGCGCAGCTCAGCGGGTCACACAAACCAGCCCAGGCATGCAGGGCGCCGCAGGAGGCACACTGTAGACACGCAGACACGACAGACACGAGGCGCACGCGCCCTGACACCACGGCCACTGCCTTGGCCAGGCGGCAGTTTCCTCTGCCGAGGGACTAGCCACCTCCCTGAGTGGTGGCTGAGCCACCCAAGTGCCCCTCAGGCCACAGCTGATACACGGACAAGACTCAAGACAAGAAGTGGGAATGGAACAGATGAGCAAGAATGGGCTGCGGCAGCCCAGCCCTCCCGGCAGCCTGTCCTGCAGTCCCTGTCAGGCCGGGGAGGACCTGCTCCAGTGGGAACAGCACAAGGCAGTAGGTGGGAGGGGCCAGGCAGCTCCACAGTGACAGCACAGATGGCGTGAACACGGGGACTCGCAAGGCACAGGACTGCACTTCCAGGGAAGCGTGCTTGGCTCTACAACCATTACCTGGAATGTCACCTCTGTGCCTGGTGGGTTCTCGGAAGCCCAGGGTGGGCGAGCAGGCTCTCCATTCAGGGTCCCCGGGAAGACCTACACAGGTAGAGTCTCACCCTACATTTTCCTGAAGATTACAGTTTCTACAAATCTGAAACACTCGAGCTGTGAAGTTTTAAAAGGCGGAGCCCGGGGAGGCGCAGGTCCCTGCTGGCTGTGGGCTCTGTTGCTTCTCACCTCCTCTGAGAGCCAGAGGTTAGGGGCCACCATCTGCTCTGCCTGCAGCCTGAGGTCCGCCCCACGGCAGGCTCCTCTACTCTGCATCCCCTCACTGTGAGAATGGACCCCGCCATCGCGGTGAGGGTGCCAGCTGCAGGCTCCGGCATGGCCAGGCTGTCCCTGGCTCACTCCACATTCTACAGAAGGGTTCTCAAGTCAGGCAAAGGCAACAGCTCTGGGGAGACTTGGAATGAGGACAGGTCTTTCTGTCGAGGGGATGGGACAGAGCAAAGCAACGAGCAGGTCCCAGGGCAGGGTTATCGTGGGACCAGGCCTGAGCAGAATGGCTGAGGTATTTACAGAGCATGCCGGACTCCTGCCCACTGGCTCACATCTCCACTCACGGAAAGAGTCATCACCAGCTAAGACCAGAAAGGAAGTCCAGACCCAGAGTGCCCCACCCACAAGGCTCTCTGTTCTCAAACACTTTCTTCTCTCCTCCTCTAAAGCCATGGGGCAGTTCAGAGCACAGAGAACCATTCAGAGATGCCAAAAGCCAAGGCAAAGTCTTGCTTTGTACATGTTCTAGTTAGCAGAATCCAGGGACACGCTTCCTTTCAAGGACGCTCAAGTGAAGTTAACCTGCAGGGGACATGGCCAGCACATGGTATGCCCAGCAGCGGCTATCGCCAACAGTGGGGGGACCCGACAACAGAGCCTGCACCAATAGAAAAGGAGGACCAGGCATCCAGGCCTGGGGTCCAGGAATGACAAGTGGCGTTTATGCAGGACGGAACTGGCTGAGGCAGAGTGGTGGGACACCAGCTGGGTAACCGCCTGTGCCAACTCTCTCCCCAGCTCTGCAGACAGCCAAACACGAACAACGCACTGTGATCAGAAACCTAGAGAGGCTCAACTCCCTGCATCAGCACAGCCTGCCTTCCCCTTCTCTGTTTTGCACGATTTTCCTCAACAACCATGGGATGAGAGGCTGGCTGCCGCCGAGAAGAGTCCTGCGCATACCTGTGGGCTTCCACAGGACTGGGGTACCCCCAGAACCAAGCCAAGGGTGGTAGCAACCCTCCTGCAGTCCTAAATTCAGGGTGAGGCTGTGTGTGGAGAGACACCTCTCAACCACAGGTGGCTTCGGAATACTTTCACCCCTGGCTAGGTGATCTGAAGGCAAGGCAGACTGTGGCCGGGGAATGTCCAGGGGCCATGTGACAGCACTGTGCTGAGACTCCAGATCCATTCTGTTCTATGTCTACCACACCCAAGTCCCAGGTCTAGTGCACACGGGACCTGGTCCCAGGAAGAGCTGCGCCAGCCTCCCTGAGCCTTTCCCCACGCTGCTGCAGGTGAGGACGACACGGCCCCTAACTGGACAGATGTGGGCCTCCCAGAGAACATCTTGGGTGTGCAGATAGAGGCAGGAGGAAGTGGCCGGCCCAGAGTCAGCCAAGGGCATCTCACGCTCTCTGCAAATGTCAGCGGAACTCAACTATAGAACACACACTACAGTTTCCCAGGAGGATCTGCCCACAGGCTGGGACACGCCACTGCGACTCTCAGGGAGGTAACGACCACTCCTGTTAAGGGACACAGGTCCTGGCTTCTCATGCCGCCCCGTCTGTGGTGTGGTGAGGGAGTAAAAGCCCCCTCCGCTGTGGTGGGCTTCCTCCCTGCCCCAAGTGGCCCACACTGGCCCACTCCTCCAGCACCAAGGGACACAGGCAGCCTGGCCAGTTTCTTGTGGCCATGTGAGGAGATGGAGAGAACGGGAAGAGGTAAGAAAGATCAGAAGGCAGAGGTCCACGTGACCCTAGGCCCGGGCTTGGTTCAGCTGTGGCACTCAACAGCCGGGCTCATACCCACCCCCACAGCACCCCAGGAACCCCCAGATACAAGCTCAGTGATTGGGGGAGGCTGTCCCCCAGGCCACCCTTTGACTGTGACGAAGCACCTAGCAGGGTAGGAGAGGACAGATGTGGGCCAGCCCCGTCTCTGGCAGCGAAGGCAGTCATGGGGCAGAGTTAAAACCACAAGCCTCCAGGCAGAAGGAAGGTAGGAGAACCGCAAGCCCGAGGAGGGAACCAGCGGAAGGAGGCCCAGCGCCCAGAGCGAGGCAGCTAGGCAGACCCCCGGGCCCTGCCAGGCAGCAGAATCCCCCTGCGGAGGCTGTCCTGATTCAGGCCAGAGGGTCCAGCCATAGCCACTGCAGGCAGACAGATGGGCACAAAACCAGGTCAACTTACTAACTCTAGTCAGGGGCAGCTCAAAATCTGGCCACTTCGACATCAACACTGTAAGGAAACACAAGGCTTATTGTCAAGCTGGAGTAGCGGACGCGTATCTAAGGACCCTGGGAAGCAGAAGGCCAGACAGGACGGACACCGGGTGGAGGAGGTGCAGGCTGCCAGGAAGGGACCTGCAGTCCTTGGGTACACAACTCCACCTGCTGGGCAGAGAGTGGAGGAGGGGGGAGGACACTCAGGAGTCAGCCAGCCAGCACAGGCGGAGTCTGCACCAGCCAGGGTGGGAACCACTCGGTGCCATCGAGCTGGCCAGCTGGGGTGCACTGAGGTGCAGCCTGGCCCACGCAGCCCCCACACATGCCAGGGAGCTGGAAGGAGGCACCAGACCAACTCAGTGCAATAAATAAAACCTTTATTCCAACAGTTGACTGCAGTACAGGGCACAGTTCAGATTTTTAAAAAAAAGGAAAGGAAAAAGAAAAAAAATATTTTTAGCACTTTACATCTTCATACAAGTTTGCTGTT